AATTTTAAAAAAGCTTTTGGATGTATGTTTTATTTCATTATAAAAATTTAATTGTGTACCAAATGAATATAATATTTATCAGAAATAAAATAAAAATGAGGTGAATAACCCTAAACCGGATACTCAGCTTGATATATAGAATATGGTTTTCTTCTTTTGAGGTACTAAGAATTGAACTAAAATTTAGTCCTTTCCTCATTCTAGACAAGCACTCTGTAATTGAGCTACAGCCCCAGTCTTTTTAAAATGTATTTTATTTTGAGACAGGGCTTTGCTTAGTTGCCCAGGCTGGCCTTGAATTTGCAGTCCTCCTGCCTCCACCTTGCAAGTAGCTGGGATTATAGGTGTGTCCCACTATACCTAGCTAGAACATGTTTCTATATAAAAAATTTTCTAAGAAAAATAGTGATGTAATTGAAGTTCTAAGATAATTATAAATCATCTCAGGGTTTTTTATTTCTTTCCATTTCTTCATTATTTTCCCAATATTTCTTTATGCTGTTTGCTAGTGTCTGCAGTACAGTGTTAAGTAGAAGCAACTACAACTCAGACTTTAAAGTATATGCTTCTAATTTTCACTGTTAATGAAGTGGGAAAAAAAAATTGATGAAGGCCTGGGGATGCAGCCCAGTGGTAGAGCACTTGCTTTTAGCATATGCAAGCCCTGAGTTCAGTCTCAGTACTGCAAAAAACCAAAAAACAAACCCAGAACATTTTATTAGGATTTGGGAAGGTATGCTTAGCGAAATGCTTTGTTATTCCTAGGTTGGTGAGAAATTTTGTTATGAGTGACTGTTGAGCTTTATCAAATGTATATTCATCAAGCTTATTTTTTTCTTTTAACTTACAAATGCAGTGAATTGCATGAGTTGCATTTGTTAGTGCTAACCCACTTTCACTTTTTTGGGTTTTTGTTTTTTTTGAAACAATGTCTTGCAGTGTAGCCCAGGCTAACTTCCCTAGGGGTGAGATTGCAGGTGTATGCCACCATGCTTGGCCACTTTTGCATTTTTGAGATTAACCCAACCTGGTTATTATGTACCCTTTAAAAATAAATAAATAAACTTTCTCTTTGAGCAGCTTTAGGTTTATAGCAGAAATGACAAAGTTTCGTTTTCCCTTCTGTTGCCCCTCGTGTGCAGTGGTGCATGCTAGAAATGAGTCACTGCGCAGACATGTCACCCCTCAAGATCCAGTGTTTAGGGTTCGCTCCTGCTGTTGCACAGTGCAGCTGGAATGCTCTGTATCCCCCATCATAGTGTCACCGACCTAAATCCTCTGTACATTGGTCTGTTTGGTTTAGGACACTGGTGTTTGTGGTAGTAAAACTGTCCTTTTATTTATTTTTTTGTCCTGTCACTGGCTTTGGTATCAAGGTTATTCTAGTCTCCGAAAATGAGTTGAAGGATATTCCACTTTTTTGTGTGTGTTCTGGAAAAGTTTTGTGTAAGATTAAAGCCAGTTACTGAGAAAGGTATATTGTAGTTTTCAACTGTTGGGGTGTTTTCTGTTAGCGCTGTCTTTCTTAAAAAGTTGTGTTATCTGATGTATTTAAGCATAGAATTGTTCTTTTAAATATAGAGCATTTCATGGGAATGAATTCAGTATTTTATCAGGAGAGACTTTATACCTGCAGTAATGCTTGTAACTTTGTCTATTTTGTCTGACTTTAGTGAATCAGCTTTATATTTAATCACCTGCCAGCTATAATTTTTACCCTTTTATTCTTTCACATTTTAATTAATACATAGTAATTGTACATATTTATGGCATACAGTGTGATATTTTGAAATCTATACACAATGTACGATAATCAAATCAGGGTTAATTAGGGTTGCCATCTCCCCAAACATCTATTATTTCTTTGTGTTGGAAACATTCAAAGTAGTCTTTTCTAGCTTTTTAAATGTGCAATAAATTATTCTTAACTGTAGTCACTCTACTATGGTAAAGGGTAACAGAACTTATTTCTCTGTAATTTTGTACCCATTAACCAACCTTGCTGCCTCTTTCCCCTCCTACTCTTCCAAGACTACTAGTGACCATTCCACTCCTGTGAAGTCAACTTTTTCAGTTTTCATAATACTGAGAAAATGTGTTTGTCTTGTGGAGCCTTGCCAGTTTCACTTAAAATAAAGTCCTCCAGGCTTGTCCATTTTTACCCCAGAAACAGGATTCTGTACCTTCATTTGGCTGAAGAGCATTCCCTGAAGCGTATGTGCCAAACTTGGGCACGCTACCCCTGAGCTATAACCCCAGCCTTTTGGGGGGCGGGGGGTGGGGTGCGGAGAAAGGATCTTGCTAAGTCACTATTTGGTTGGATCGGGAATTTGAATCCTACCGTTTCAGTCTCAACCTCTCAAGTGCTGGGATCCTAGGAATGTGCCCCTGAAAAGTTATTATTGATAGTGCTACAATAAACACGAGATTATAGGTGCCTCTTCAGTATACCAGTACCTTTCCTTTGGATATACACCCAGCAGTGGACCTGCTGGATCTTATGGTAGTTGTATAATTAGGGTTTGAGAAAACTCCATACTGTTTTCTGCATGGCTGTACTAATTTCATTGCCAACAGTACTGTATAAGAATTCCTCTCTGCGGGCTGGAGATTTAGCTCAGTGGTGCCACCACCTGCCTCGCAAGCACAAGGTCCTGAGTTTGATCCCCAGTACCAAAAAAAAATTCCTCTCTGCATTCTTGCCAGCCTCTGTTTTGTCCTTTTTGAACTCACAGTGATTCTGATTTGCACTACCCTCATGATTATAGTTACATTGAGAGCTTTCTCCCTTACGCTTATGGGGCATCTGAGAAATGTCTATTCCTATCATTTGTCTATTTTAAAATCAGATTATTGTTAATATTTTTGCTGTTATTGACTTATTATATATTCTAGATATTAATCCCTTGTTAGACAAATAATTCACACATTTTTTCCATCATTCAGGTTGTCTTTTCACTTTGAATGCTTTTTAATTTGAAATAATACTGTTTTATTTTTTTCTTTGGTTGCCTGGCTTTTGAATGTCTTATCCAATGATATCATTGTGCATAACCAATATCCTGAAGAGCATTTCCCCTGTTTTTGCCTAGTAGTTTATGTCTTACATTAATACCTTTAATACATTTTGAATTGTGGCCTTTGTTTTTTTTGTGGTGCTAGGGGTTGAACTCAGGGCCTTCCCACTAAGCTACACCCCAGCCCATTTTTATTTTTTAGTTTGAGACAAGGTCTTGCCAAGTCACTGGGTTGCTCATGCTGAGCTAAAACTTCGGTTTTCTGCCTCAGCCTCCCAGAGCTTACCAATTCTTGGCTAAGTTGATTTGTTTTTAGTATGATATGTCTTTAACATGAGAGACGGGGTCTAGTTATATTCTTCTGTATATGGGTATTTAGTTTTTCCAGTGCCATTTATTAAACTGTCCTTTCTCCATTGTTCATTCTAGGCACATTTATCTAAAACCCTCATTGACCCTAAGTAAATGGACTCATTTCTAGGTTCTCTATTCTGCCCCATTACTCTTCTGATCTTTTTCCTTTAAAAAGCCTTTTGTTTATCCATGTGTCCTTTGGATGTTTCTTTTAAAACCATAATGGATTTTTTTCTAGTTTTCCAAACTTTTTTTAATCTGGGAAGTTAGTCAACATATATTTCTTATGATTGTTGTACATTCAGATATATTTATACCTTATTTTTTGTTTTAATCTTTAATGCTTTCTTCTCTTTTGTTTATAATCTGTAAATTCTTTTAAATTGTATAGAGCCAAATACTTAGCAATAGATAATAAATTTTCATCTCAATATTTGACTTACAAGAAAGAAATTTCAGTATATACTACAAATTCAGTAAGAAATTATTAGAGAAAATGCCCTTCAAAAGGCCTTCATAATTCTTTGCAAAGAAATAATTCTGAGAAAGATTACTGATCTTTTTGTGTAGAGGGAATGGTTAAATATTGCAATTAAATGCTTTTTACTTTTTTGTTCATTTGTTTTCATTGTTGGTGACAAAATGTTTAGTGTGTATTTTTGACCTAAAAACCAACATCTTCTGTGAATAAGTCTCACATTTATATTGGTTTTCTGTGATTTAAAGTAAAACATCATGTGTTACAAAGATGCCAGCCAGCACTGAGTGTGTTGGAATGCCTGTTCCTTGTGGGCACAGAGAAACAACAGGCGTGGCCTGAAGGGGCTCTCGTGCCTCTGCATTATCTGTCGGCATCAAGTCAGTGCCCAGAGGGGCGGGAAACCTCTTGCTTTGGGTTAGCACTGGGCCAAACCTCTGGGTTCACCCTGGCATGTTTGAGGCATAGGGAAGAAGATGAAGGGGTGAGAAGCAAAAAGGTTAAGAAAGAAGAAAGGAATACTGCACTGCAGAGGTTGCCACATGGAGAACGGTGCCAGTGACTATCCTTTCAGTTGAGTTGCCCACCTTGATTTTACTTACTTTGTTGATTGTTTGGTTTGTGGTGCTGGGAATCACCCCAGGGCTTTGTATGTGTTAAGCAGGAGCTGCATCACTGAGCTACACCCCCAGTCCAGTTGCCTAGTAGGGAGATTTTTTACCTGGTAGGGAGATTCAGACAATTGTAAACCTGTTTTGACAGGAAATAACATTTCTATTAGATGCTTCTGAATCTTGAGCCGAGCTTCATTTACCAAGAGAGCTTCTCCTGGGGACAGTGGGAAGCGAGATTATTACCTCAGCCCCCAGACCTTGCGTTTCTTAAGAAAAGCCCCACTTGTACCTACCTGTGTATGTTTTGTTCACCTCGTCTCTCATCAGCCATTTACCCACTTAGTATAGTTTGAGCGTCTGTAGATTTTTGTGTAAGCCTAGCAGCAAACATCATGTTAGAACCTCATCGAGACCTTTGTAGAATCAGCTCAGATGTTTTCTGACACAGAGGGTAGCAATATAAATCATAGATGTAGATTGTAGTGTTGGACATGAAATATTTTTAGTGTTTACCTTGAATGTGTTACTACTTTGCAGTCAGGATTGCAGAGGCCTTCACTTCGGGGACAAGGTTGTATATCCTCCTGAAAGATGCAGCACGTGGGAAAGAAGAGTGACTTCTAAGCTTCTTTGCACTTGCTGACAAGAGTATATCAGCACTCCCAGAAACAACTCATGCGACCAACTTGCTGCAAATAACTCATCTGTGGTTCAAGACCTTTTATTTTTAGAAACATTCCTGAAGGACGCACGTTGAATAAAGGGTCCCTTTCATTGTAATAAAAGTAGACCCCGGTATACAGAAGAGATCATTTTTATAATTGCTACATACTACTTTTGTTTCCTTTTTGGGAGAATTATTTGTACTAGAGAGTAGTTTCCATTTTATAATCTGTTTTTTCTTAGGTTTCCTGTAAGAGTTATCTCTCGAAGTTAGTATTGCAGGCACCTCCTTGTTTAGTTGGTGGAAGGGTCTAAGGGTTACATATATACATTTCCTTGCTTTGTCTTCCTCTTCCCCTTGGGATTAGAATCAGCTTTTGTGAAACAGAAGAGGAAATAATTAAGACTTTTTAAAGCAATGTGAAAAGTTGCCTTTTTACATTAGAAAATTGATTGTAGGGAATCTCAGGTAAAAAACCATTGTGTTATTGGTGAGACAATTTTTGGGACACTGGAATTTTTAATGTTTTCTTTTTGGTAAGAAAGCACACAGAAATTCAGTATGCTATTTATACCAAATGTTTCTGGGATCCAAAACAATGACGCTGATTTTAGTCACTTATTGTGATCAGCTTATTCCACTGCTGCTTCTAATTGTCACTTTTTCCTAAAACAGGGCTTCCCAGCAGTAATTTTTTCATACATTTGTTTTATAGGAACTCTGATGAGGAATTACAGTATTGACAGGTTTATGTTTTTTTTTCTATAGAACATGAGGCATGTGCATGCATTTATTCAAACGTTTGAGCCCCTAATATATATACAGCATTGACTGTGTATTGGAAATATAGCATAGAATTAGACAGACCTGGCACTTCTGCGGTGAGTCTAAAATTATAAAGAAAAGGTTTTTAAAATTCAAATAAACTTTTGGTTTAAGAGAATGGGAAAATATGAAATGAAATGAATACCCTGCCAAATAATCTGCCAGACACTGAGGAAACAAAACTGAAATAGACGTGGTCTACAAATTCTTAGAACTTCATAATTGATTTTTGAAATATATACTGTTTGCTAGGTGTGGTGCTGGATGTTAGGGATAGTATTTTACATACTAATAAGTAGTGGGTGTTTTTTGTTTTCTAGATTTTTGAGAAAAGTTACTTGAATTGGAAAGTATTTTGCCTTTTCTTAGTTTTTTTTAAATTTGATCTGTGTAATAGCTTCTGCTTATTGGATACTTGACACGCTGCTAGATGTTTTAGATGTCATTTATTCTATATATCATAGTGACCTACTCACCAATTATTGAGCATTTATTTAGCTATCACTCCATAAGCATTTCATCTTAACCAATGAGAAGCCTGACTAAACCTTGCACAGCTGGCAGAGCTGGGATTCATGTTTGGGGTGGGTTGGCAATCATGAGTCTATGCCCTGCCTTAAAAAGATCTTTTTTTTTTTTGGCACTGGGGATCGAACTCGGGTCCTTGTGCTTGTGAGGCAGGCGCCAGAACCACTGAGCTAAATCCCCGGGCCTTAAAAAGATCTTTTACCATGCCTCCCTTGCAGATGCAAGGTCCTGAGTTCAATCCCCGGTACCAAAAAATAAAAAAGTTCTTTTAGCAGTTGTGCTTGATGGGAAAACTTCCATCTACAGTTTAAGCAGTATGTCATCAGATTACATTCGTCCCCCTTGGAATATATTCCAAGACCCTCAGTGGATGCCTGAAACCATAGATCACACCAAATCCTATATACTGTGTTTTTTCCTATACGTACACACACTTCTGATAAAGTTTAATGTATGAATTATGTAAGAGATAAATAATAACCAACAGTACAATAGAACAATTATATCAGTGTACTGTAACAGAATTGCCAGCATCACTGCTCTTGTCTTTGGGGCCATTATTAATTAAAATAAGGGTTACTTGAATACAAGCACAGTGATACTGTGACAGTCGATCTGATAACTGAGACAACCAAGCAGCTAATGAGCAAGTATAGGTTAGAGTTGGTTCTCTGTACCCTTCAAATCAGCCAGCCTTGGCTTTGAAAATATTTTGAGGAAAAATTGTTTCTGCTAAGCATGTGCAGACTTCCCCCCCTTGTCATTAGTCCCTGCATAATACAGTATAATTATTTACATAGTACTTATTACTATATTAGGTATTATAAAGAATCTATAGGTGATTGAAAGTATAAGCGAGGATGTGTGCAGGTTCTGTAAGGGACTTGAGCGTGTGCAGATTTGGGTACCCACCGGGGTCAGTTCCTTGCAGATACTAAGGGACCATGGTACAGTGTATTTGGTACAGAGTGAAGGTCCACATCCCCGGAAGATGGCACGATGGCATGACATTTCATCGCTACTGAGAACAACATACCATTTAAAACTTGTGAATTGTTGTATGGAATTTTCCATTTAATCTTTTCAGACTCCAACTGACCATGGGGAACCAAAGTCCTGGAAAGCAGGACAGTGCGTGAGGGGGGCTACTGCCTTCTCCAGATTGAGAAAGAGAGGATGGAAGATTTAAATGATGCCCACCTATGGAGTCATTTTATGTAACCTATAATATTTATTGTAAAAACTTTGTTTTAAAACTTCTACCCATAAGCTATTACCATAAACTTGTACCAGGTTTATAATGAGAGTTTTAAAAATTTAAGTTTATAATATTAGGTTTAAAATTGGTGTGTTTCATATAATCAAGTGCCCTATATAAAGGTTTCTATATTGTGCTGATGGCATTGGAAACTATTAGGAAGAATGTCTGCTTTCATAAATTTTGTGGCTGTCTCAGTTTCTTTTAGGTTGTGGACTACTACTTACTTTATGGTTTTCCATTAAAAGAAGAAAAAACTAGTATCTGAAATTAGCTGTAACAAAAGACACTCACCTTCTTTAGTATTGCCTAATCTTCCTCTGACCATACATATGCCTGCCCCTCTGATTTCTACAGCTGTAGCAGAAATCTTGTATCTTTGGAGGACGAAAGAGCAGAACTGTGTGCAGTTATGATCCCATGGCACAGCTGACCTGGATATATCGCTTACTTTATTGCTGAGTTCTCTTACTGTAACAGATTGGGTCTGATTGTAAATCGCCTATACTCATACTATATTTTACATTGCTTATAGATTTATCAACCATCTGTTACCATCCCTGAATTAATGTTAGAATAGGTTAACTTCTGAATAATTCAACTAATGTTAATAGAACATAGCACCAGACAAATTACTAAATCTGGCATTCCAAATATTTTGTAGTGTGCCTTTAACTTTTGGTGAGCACAAATGGAAATTCTAGGCCTCTGACTATTATGAAAAAAAAAGATTTGTTACTGTTTAGGAAGACAAATTAAAACACAGCTGGGAATGCAGTAGTTAGCCCAGTCTCACAGACATTAGTCTCCCTGTTTTTTTCCTCCTGTTTGTATTCCTAGAAGCAAACAGCTGTGCATTCAGTTTTATTCTTACTCTTTTACTTAAAATGTGAATCGCAAATTAAGCTGTGAGCATTTAGATTTGTTTAAATTCCCTTATCTCTAATTTTATTGCCCTTTTCATTTAAAGCAATGATGTATCATTATATTAAAATTTTTTTGAAACAGCCATGTGGCCATAATGTGCATGCCATTTAGTAATGTTCTTTTTCATACACATCTATAGTCATAATTTTAACCTCAGCAAAGTATTCCATTATTAAATATTTCACTTAAAATTCTGCAGTTCTCTTATTTCAAAATAACAGTACTTTCAGTGATGAATAATGTGCATTTTAAACTTTACTTTTAAAATATCTTCTCTAGACTGATTAAATGTTAGTATTCTCCTAAAGCCATTTATGCTGCACAAATTTGTGTATGTGTGCAAGCTTCAGTTCAAAGAAAGTCTGGTATGAATAAATACGTTAAATTTGAGTAGTTGAAGTCAACACCCAAAGTATTTGAAGCACTTCTGTTTCTTTTGATTTTGTTTTGCTCTGGTTGATTATTTGTTTTGTGGTACTGGGAATTGAACCCAGAGCCTGTGCCCTGAACTACATCCCCTGACCTTTTTTCCATCTTTATTTTGAGACAGGGTCTCCCTAAGTTGCCCAGGCTAGCCTTGAACCTGTCATCCTACTGCTTCAGCCTCCCAAAGTGCAGAGATTACAGGCGGCCACCACACCCAGCCTGAAGCACTTGTTAAGTATTGGCAAGGCCTTAAGGGATGCATTGAGGATTGAGTAATGATTTATGTGTGATTGCAGTGGTAAGCTATTACAGTAAGCTGGCTGAGTCTTTGAGATGCCAGTCTGCTGTGGTGGAATCAAGACGATTTTACAGTAGTGCATGGGCAGCATCTTGGTTTACCGAAGGGCCTGCACATAGTTCTCATTTTAGGTAAGATACTGTTATTTATTTTCACATTATTGAATCTATTTTTCATTATATATTAAGTAATCATGTTTTTAATGCAATTTTATTTTATTTCTCCTAAATTTATTGTAAGACATAGAGACGCAGAATTCTGTGTTCTCATTTTTTTTTTTTTTTTAAGTTCTTGGTTGTTGGAGACTTGATGGTCACCTTGTCCACATTCCTGTTTTTACTACCAATGATCATCATCTTCATCATCGTTATCAACAGTTTATCTTATAATATGATTTCATAGCTTAGATCATAAATTGCTTCTTTTTTTAAACCCAAGAACTTTACTTTGTGATGTTATTTTGCAGCCATGTGTAATAATAACTGTCATTTTTCTTTTCTTTTCTGAGGATAAAAGAAATATATGTGCCTATTGGAAAATGTAGGCTATCTGTCCACTACTTGGGAAGGCTGAGGCAGGAGGATGGCAAATATGAGCCCAGCCTGTGCAACTTGGCTTGACCGGTGCCTCAGAATAAAAAAATAAAGAGGGCTCGGGATGTGGCTTATGGCAGAGAATTCTGGGTTCAACCTGAAGTACCACCAAAAAGTGTGTGTGTGTGTGTGTAGAAAATCACATCAAAGAATACCTATACTCTTCCACTGTATGCACAGACAACTGACACATATTTTTTCAGTTTTCCTTCTGTATGCATCAGTGCCAAGAGAATTGGGGTCATACTGTATACAATCATAACTTTGTTCACTTAACATGTCTGAAACATTTTCTATTATATTCTTTTAGATCTTTTCAGCAATTACTAGAAAACTGTATGTGCTGATGAGAAGTTAGGGAAGTAAGGTGGAGTGCTGCGTACCTTTTCAGCCTCTGCCTTTCCCGACCACTGACAAGGTGCTTACATATATAATGATATTTTAGGGCTTCGACTCTTTATGGTGAAGTATTTAAAACTCAGTTGATTTAGGGGGCACAAAAGCTTAATCTTAGTCTTTTACGAAGCAGGTTTTTTTGCCAGTCAAGAATTTCATGAGTTAATAATGAAATAAAATCAGTAATAATAATAGTATTTAATAGGAACCACTCAGATATATAAAACAGCCATAAGATTTTTTTCACTTAAATCAAAGGATTTAATATAGAAACACTAATCTCTTATTGAAGTGTCCAGCATACAGGTTTTTTTGTTTTAATTTATGTAAGCTTTTTTTTTTTCATTATTGCAGAAACGAATTTTAATTTTTAATCTTTAGTTTGATTTAAACATTGCTTTTAGTATGATGCCGACACCAGCTGTGCAGAAAGGGATCTGGAGAGATGTTCGTAGCAGCACACACCTGCGGCTCTTCTTCGGTTCTGGAGGTTCCAGGGCAGCCAACATTGCTTCATCAAACACATTCTTTAGGCCTTTCTGTGTGAGTGCAGAACACTCCACATACTTGACAGCCTTCAGATCTCGGGCCAGCTTTTCAGCAGTCTCTGGAGTGATAGGTTTCTGTTTGTCCTTGGCAAGTTTCTCAATAGTAGAGGGGTCATCTCTGAGATCAATTTGGGTCCCAACAAGCAAGAAAGGAGTCTTTGGACAGTGGTGAGTTATCTCAGGCACCCACTTTTCTTTCACATTTTCAAATGAGGATGGAGAGACCACTGAAAAACAGACTAGAAATACATCTGTTTGTGGATAACTCAGTGGTCGTAGTCTATCATAATCCTCTTGTCCTGCAGTATCAAAAAGCCCAAGAGTATATGGCTCTCCACCAATCATAACTGTGACTGCATAGTTGTCAAAAATGGTTGGTACATATTCAGATGGAAATTTGTTTGTTGTATAAGATATCAGGAGACATGTTTTACCAACAGCACCATCGCCCACAACAACGCACTTAATTGTCTGCATTGTGGAAATAGTTTAAATATTTCAGATTTGATGTTGACCTCAGCTTCTCCTATATAAGCTTTTATAAGCTTCATTCCTTTTTTAGGCAAATACTAATATTTTAAGTTAGAAATGTTCAGACCATTACCTGAAGAAAAGGAAATTGTTTAAAAAAAGAGAATAGAAAACCTTACGTAGTTTTGTGGAATTTTTTCTTCACGTTCACTCCAAGTACTTTAAGGAGAGAAGGTGAGATTTGCCCGTGTGCTCACCTGTGCTCCCCAGTGTGCAGCTCCACCCCACCCACCCCCAGCGTGTGTAAGTCATCCATTGGTTTTTCCCTGGAAAAACTCATCAGTGAATGTCATAAGACTTCCTTTGAATCACCAAATACAGATCTCTCTCTTTTTCCAAAGGCTGACATTTTGCTGGGGAATATACCTCAGTAGTAAAGTGCTTGCTTACCATGTTGGAAGGCTGAAATTTTGACACTTCATTTCTAAGAACACTGTGTTCATTAAGAGCTGGCACTGGTACAGGAGTTACTCACATATGGTCAGTGCCCCCTCTGTGTCCCATTGCCCTCATGTCTGCCAGCCTCCCTTCCGAACTCTGTCATGATGCTCCCATTTGATTCCAGTGTGGAGCCAGCCAGGGTTGGGACTACTGTTCTGAATTCTTAGATTTAACAGGTGGGACCTTGTTGAAAGTAATATATCAACATGTGTAGTTTCAAATGCAACCATTACTTTCTAAAGTGTTTACTCTGGCTTTTAGAATTAGCAGATACTGTTGTGTAGAGGAGATACCAGCTAAACCATTTCTAGAAGCAAAAAACTTTTGGCATTAAAAGAAGAGGATTTACTATAACATATGTGCTTTTGGATATTAATCAAGATGGAGTGTGTGAAGGTGCCAAGTTCAAAACAGCTGAAGATGCTCTTCAGGGGAAAGAAACATAGTCCTAATTCAACTTAAATGTGCCTCTCTAAACAGAATGGAGATTTTCTCCTGGGCTCAACAGGTAGTTTGTACTCCTGTGATAAGGATCTGTATACACCATTTAAGTAGCAAAAGAAAAGTTTTCAAATACAAAATACAAATCTTAACTTCTGAAAAGGAGTTGTACTGTGATACAATAACTTGGCGGAAAATAAGTTCATGATTACATTTGTTGATTTAGGAAGCATTTGATTTGTATTTATTGTGAAATACAAAAGTGAGCTTTAATTGGAAATGGAATTATTATACTGTGCCTTATTTTCATAAGTTTGTTCAAAAAAAGAAGCAATAATAAGTAATCAGTCATTTTAAAATCACCCACAAAATGCTGGCTGGGGGAGAAACTCAGAGCTTACCTCAGGAACTCAAGAAATATTTGTTGATAAAGGAATTTAATGCTGAAAATTTTCCAGTGGGAAAGTTAAAAAGAAAGGTAGAATAGCAACTTGCTCCTCTCATGCAAAATACTTGAAGAAAAGGTCAGTAAAAAGGACAAACTTATGAAAATAAGAAAATGGGTAAAATAGATTTTCCTTGATCATGAAATTGCTGACCATAACTTAGTCTTTCAACTTATTTCTCTGAAGACAATCATTTAAAAGGTAACCTCTCTATTTAGGATAGTAATATATTCCTTGCCAGATTACTTTGTGAATTTAACTGAAAAAAGCATTTAAACATTTCCTTTTACAAGAATGAAGATTTTTCAAACAAATTTGAATAGAAATTTAGCTAAGTATTATATTAGCAATGTAGTGAAGAAGTAATACTTGAAATTACAGAGAAAGTAGGAACTATAGAGAGTAATTGTATAAATTACGATTTAGCAAGTATAGAAAGGGCAACATTCATAACTACCTTGGGAAAACTAAGTAGACTTTTTTCACTTTCTTTTTTAGAAGAACAATACTCTATTGAGATATAATTCACATATATTCACATGTGGGTATCCAATTTTAACAACATGTTTTGTTGAAAAGACTCCTTTCCCCCAGGTGTGTTTTTGGCACATTGGTTGAAAATCAGTTGCTTGTAAATGTGGACTTTTTCACTTTGTTTAAGTTTTTAAGTGTAATGTATTTTTAAAGTAGTTATAGGATGCTATTGTACCTTAACCTGGGTTTCAAATATTCTTATTTGGATATTAGTTGAGGAATAAAGTTACATTTTTCTAAAGCTAAATTTTAGTCTTAAAAAAATCTATTTTTTTCTACATAAGTCTTGTAATGCACTTGCCAATGTGCTGCTTCCACCCCCCCAAATACCTGGGGTTACTGCCTTGGGTCACCGTGCCAGGGAGCCCTTGCTGTGTAAGCAGGTGTGCCCGAGACTTCTGTGGCCCTCACCCTCTAAAGTGACTCCATGGCTTGCAGTGGGACTTATGATACATTTGATTCTGGTGTGTGGAAGTGGGCAGGGGAAAGTTATATAAATACTAATACACCTGGGCTTCCTGTTGGAACACTTCAAGTCTTGAACCAGTTACTTGGCCAGCACGCCTTTTCTGTTTCCTCCAGAGCATCTCTTATCAGCCCATTTCTCACAGGGGTACAGTCTCCCTCCTTTCTTTTGCCTTCTCAAAATAACTTCATAGCTCACATTTCTGTGTGTGTGTGTGTGTGTTTGTCTGTGTGTGTACTTACTTTCTCTTATTCATTCCTTTTTTCCTTCTAATTATGAGGAAGGTGGAAATAAACAGGCTCTT